TGAAAGGATATTTTCCCCTTTCCCTCTATCCTGGACACCTCTGTAAGTTGGACACATTATCGTGGAACCGCAAGTGTCCAAGTTAGAGAGGTTTTACTGTATTTTCTTTAAGATGCCATTCCCTGTAACAAGATCACTCATGTGTATGTGTGGGGTCGCATTCAAGAGGAGAATGACATCATATCTCTTGACCTGACTATTCACCCCCACCAAAAACCCCATCTCGTTTGATGTTCTATATAGGCTTATGACCCCAGAGCACAGGAGCAGAAGGTGGGTCATGAAGTCATAGCACCTACTTCGTGTAACTTTACTGTTCAACTTTACTATATACCTTTTTCCTTGTCTTGAGTTTTGAATAAAACTCTTCTTATTAGAAAATACGAACTGACTAGCTTCTACAATTGGAATACCTAGTTATTTCAACTTATCCACAAATCCTAAACAATCCCGAACGTATTACAATAATAGTATTTCCATTCTTCCTGTTATTGTTCCAGTCTATATTTTTGTTGTTGTTCCCATAAATATTTTGTTATTCCTGTTACTCCTGTTAATTATTTTGTTATTATTCCTGTACCATGTCTCGCCCGGTAAAGCAAGTCAGAACTCTTAAAGAAAGATTAAAAATCATAGAAGTGGAGAAGAATCCATTTGAAAAAAGAATCGACATTGCTAAAGCCTTGGATTAGCACCATCTGTTTTAAATTCAATAGTTGCAAAGAAGAAAGAAATCAGAAAACAAACTAACACCACTGGTGAGTTGTGTGAAGATCGCGAAGGGGTGGGAGCGGTGAGGAAGAGGACGAATGCAAGCCCGAAGCTGTGCCGAGTTTTGCCGAAGCACACGCTACATTGGCAAAAGTGAAGTCGTTCTTTTATGCACATAATATTAGTGAACGTGATGAGGAAAACATTTTGAACGTGGAAAGGGCTCTGTTTGGCCTAAAATGTAAAGTTTCGACAAACCAGTTGTCCATTAAAGACTTTTTTGGTAAGAAGAAGTAACTTTGAAAGAGAAATATTCAGTTTTTTTAAAAATTTTAATGCTTTCCCGCAACTATCATTTTCCCGTATTCATCGTTTTTGTTTCCCACACCCGCCAAAAACGATGCATCGAGGTTTCGCTGTAGTATTAGTAGTACCTGCAGGGTGAAGTGCCTCTGACTTATGGTCCTTCATTACATGAGTATGCAATGTAGAGACAACAGATGTGAGATGCATATCTGAAATGCCAATCTTATTGCCAGTCATTTGTAATGTCTCACTGCTGCCTCCTTTCTTGTCAGGAACAGAACTGTCAAACCTTACTGATCCATGGCGACGAGTACGTGACAGTGCCTTCCGAGGTGTAACACCCAGTATGCTCTTTTTGCTGGCAGACCTGAAAGAAAAGAGCACTTTCACATAAATTTAATGATGGGTATGTCAACCAATAAAACTGCACACAAAAGTATACATACAGATGATTACAGACAATAGCAACTGAATGCTAATGAAGATCTGTTATTAGGTGAAGGCACCATGTAGACATGGGTTGTATAGTCACTTCTAGCTTACAAAAAGCACTAAATACAATTTATTTTGTGATTTTATATTTTAAAGAATTTAATTGCATCTTAATATCTGGTTGTGTCAGGACTGCTTCACATTTTCCACCCACCACAATTCCCTTCACACTTGGTGAATTTTTTTATTGATACTGACATTAAATTGAAATAAACAGATTTTATTATTTCACAACAAGAATAAGATGTGTTAATCATGTGATGATGTAAATTATGCAATAAAATACAGTATCACTTGTGTGTTCCCAGTTTATAAAATATTTTACTGTTAAACATACATCTATTGTAAGCTGAAAACATTTCTAGTTTTGTGGTCATTCATCAGGGTTACATACAATACCATGACAAAAGTGAAAGTTTCTCTAAGTCAGTCAATTTAGAACAATGCTACATATGTAGAAAAATCTGATAAGCATAAATGATGATACATCCTCAGATGCTCTGTGCTAAGTTTCATGAAAACTGCAATCATTATACAAACCTTATGGCTGGGAGTAACAGAATGTCTTCAGGTGTTTTCTCATGTTTTTCATCTGATGGGAGACTAAAACGGATCTGCCTTCCCAGAACCTCCTCATCTGAAAGTAACAGCAGATTATCACTCATAACACTTCTGAAACCTATTGCAATGCCTAGAAATTAGACAAGAAACAAAAATTTGTCAATAATGACACTTTATTATTTTTGGAGATTCATAAAATTTATGTCCATTATTTATGATTCTGTAAGTGTTTATAAGTGTGTGCAATAAATAATAAACTGTAATTACCTTGCATCTTCTCCTCTGCTACTTCTTCTTCTTCTTCCTCCTCCTCCATTAGTTCAGGTGTGGTTGAGGTTCCTGTGAATGATGGCACTGATACCTGAGATAGATTATCAGGACTAACAGAGCAGCGCACCATCTTCCGCACCTAAAACATGAAACCGTTTAAAGATAACTGTCTTCTAGGATGTTGCATTGTGTGGTTCACTAGTTCATCATTTCAGAAATGACTGCTGCTTCCATCATCAGGGCACTCATTGTCAGTATTTTCCTTCTGGAAAAATAGCTTGTTATAAGCTTTTCTGAGAAATCCTTGCAACAAAAAGAATAACAGGAACTTCATTATTTCGCATCTCTTCATATCATTCCAGTGGTTGACTCCAGATCTTAGATTTATATTGGCCATGTTTTCTAAAAACTGATGGGATAACTGGTTGGTTTCTGTTTATTGGTTCAGCAATTTCAGGTGTAAAAGAAAATTCATACAAACAGTGCATGAAGAGTCAATGCATCACACCAAGTCAGCTGGTTAATATTGTGTTCATTTAATGACATTTCATGCTGATTCAATAGAAACAAAATGGGCACTGATTATGAGAAGAATAGCATAATAAGGCACAATTATTTACCCACATATTCCATGTAACAGTGGTAAGAGGAATAATGGAAACAAACTTATGAAACAAAAATGAAAGCATGGTTACACATAGCCACAATTCAACAGGCACCTTGAGAATGGACTGTGGTGTGAATACAGCGGTTGGAGAAGCAGGAAGGTCTTGCTGCTCCTGCAACCGAGATACTGATAACAGTGTTCTTCGTCGGACATGAGGTGTCTGAAGCAAGGATAATGCATCCACGTTGGAATACCGATCCAGTCTTCTGCAATAGAACAACAATGTTTTAAGCATTATAACATGTCAGGAACTTATATTAAGTACTTTAAATGAGAAATGTTATGTTCTGTAACATTTCTATCAGCTTTCACTGCACTATTTTAAACTCAAAATAGTAATAGCATGTATTTATCTGTATTTAAATTAATTCAATCCATTAATTGTGGTTTATTTAATGACACTGTCATTATGTCAGACTATGCAGTGTCAAATGATGTGATAAGTAACAAATTGAAAAGGATAAGAAAGGAAACAGTCAAGGAATAATCTAATGTACTATCTATTGTGGGGGGCTGGACAGCCGGGGTTCAATCCCCGATGGGGGCAGAGGATTTTTCCTCTAGCCTCTGCGTCCAGACCAGCTCTGGGGCCCACCCAGCCTCCTCTACAATGGGTACCGGGGTCCTTTCCCGGGGGTAAAGCCGGCCGGGGCGTGATGCTGACCACTCACCCCCCATCTAGTGCCGAGGTCAAGAAAGAAAGGAGCTATACCTCCACTCACCCCAAGCACCTTTACGGCACATAGCGGGACAAACTTTACTTTACTTTACTTTACTATCCATTGTGGGACTGAGAAAAACCACAAAAGTCCTGCACCAGGATAGCCAGTCTCTGTGCTAAGACAAAGTGATCAATAAATATCCTGGTTTCATGTGTTCCTTCCCATTTTGAACACAAATAAGAAACAGAAAAGAATATTGCAGCATCTTATTCTGTGCCCTGTGTTATCTTTGTTAACTTACTTGCGTGATGATGCAATTGCACTTCCTAGAGGTGATGGATAGTGGTCTGAATAACGGAGCCGTTTTACAGGGGAACCATCCATGGTTTCATCATCAGACTTGGGGCTTGGGTGTGTAAGTGTTGGGAACACAACTGCTGGCACATCCCTGCCAAAACAAACAGAGCCAGCTCCTTACATAATGTAGCTAATGAAAAGTTCTCAATTTCCTACTTGGTAATGTTTATTACTGTCTTTCCCCTCCTATGAATGGGTTCCCCATGCAACTGCCAACACCATAAATGAATAAAAAGATGCAGGGTGATATGGTTCTATGTTCTTCACATACAAGAGTTTATGAACAAATTCTAACCATCATATAATAGGAAATACTTCATTTTTTAAAACACTGATATATAACATTAAGCATAATGCAGTAAATGTTAAAGATGGTAACTAATATAAGGAGAAAGAGGTGTTTAACATGCAGTCATATAACACAGTGAGCATGTTCACATTCAAAATAAAACTATGACAGAATTTCCCAGCTACACTTGCATAGCAGAACTTGCCCATAACTTCTGACTAAAACTGTAGAAGTTACATTAATTTCAATTCTGGCATGCTTATTTTGTGTATTTAAAGTGCCATTCCATGTGTCATCAGGTAATTTAAACTGATTTAAATCCTACAGAACAAAAGCATTATGAGGAAATGATGAGTCCTAACTTTTTCTCACAATGTTACCCAAAGAAACGGACCACATGCCATCTCAATCTCTGTTCCATTAAGATATGACAAGGATAAGGGCAAAATTAGGTTGTGACATATTTCACATTCCTAACTGAAAATCAGCTGCAGAAATAGAGAAGAAAAATGAAGTAATCAATTAAAACAGCAAACACATAGAAGTATTACAGCCAGACACACATGCTTTGCAGAATATACCTGGTGAAACTGAATGTCTCTGAGACAGCTCGAGGTGTGCATAGAAATGGTGTCATCTCTACTGAAGGTTTCTCCATGCTGGACCGATCCCGTTTAGCTGGCGTGCACGGTGGTGCAGGAGGCTGAATCACATGACTCCACGTCTCACGAGCCTTCTCCAATGTCGCCTGGATTAATGACGATCGATAACAAACTGGCTGTAATTCACCACGGTGCACATCCACAGACATTGGAGTTGGTCGTGACACTGTGATCATCACAAGGAATACATTACCAAACTTCCATTCATAAATAGTATAAAGTAAATGCTAGTCAAATGTTAAAAACACCACATATCACCAGCTAAAAAAGGGATTCCAATGCTATACTATATTCCATATCATTACTCTAAGGATCATGGAAATGTTTGGGCAAGACAATTAATTAGGCTGAAAAGGCTATTGTTATCAACAAACAGAAACAGACTTTCATTAACTGAACAAAATAAGACTGCTACCATACCAAAAGCAGCAAATTATGGTACCTTCATATCATAGAAGTATGAAACAGAGCAGATCTATAATGTTATAATGTAAGTTCTACACCCATTTCTTATAGTAACAAAAAACTGTTGTAAAGTGTTCTTTCAGTTAAGTAATTTAAAGCAGAGACCAGGATTACTTCCTTTCAGAACACATTTTAGAGTAATTCACTTGGATATTGGTACTGAGGATAACAATAACTGCAAAGAAATCTGAATATTCTTACTGGAAACATTTTAATCTGAGTCCTTACTTCCCTCTGTTCTGGATATGTCCTACAAAGAAGAAACCAGAGGTCAGCTGCACACTATACCTTGCTTCCAGTTGGTAAGGCAGGACTTCTCCTGTGCACAGTACAGAGCCAGTTTCCTGGTGACAGACGGTAGTGTGTTAGCATAAGCCTGAACAATGGTGTCTCGGACACAACTGGATTTGTCTTCTGTGTGACCTTGCTTCAAGCTATTTGAGTCCATGTGGCTCTTTGAACTGCGAATGCTGTTATTCACTTCCATTGCCTCTGCAATCCTAAACAGTGAAATTTCTTTGTATTAATCAAATCTTCTGAGATACCATAAAAAAATTACTACTGCAGCAATCAAACATTCTAATGATAAGTAACGATACACAAAAAATAATTTAAAAAATGTAAAATAGATTCATGAGAATGAATTTACTGATTAAGGGGCAAAAAATTATGAAAACAATGATATTTTATCAATACTTTAAACACTTCCAATGTATGTTTATCAGTCACAATTACAAACCAAATATCATCACCCCTTGTACTGGATAAATGTTCATTTTACTGAAATTTCATTACACATATTTTTTCTTATACCTAAATCAACGTGTATTAAGATATGCAATCATGGAACAAATTCTGAAAGAAGATTTTGAAATTACATCTACACATATTTGTAAATTGTCACGTTACTATTTACAAGTATCCACATCCTACAGACAGAACTTGGATATTGAACTAAGACTACTGCTCATGAAGGATTAAATGCAGACAATTGAACAAACTTTCATTCAGTGTTCAATATCTATTTTATCAACAGCAACTCACCTAGAACGCTCAAGGTAATACATGACGTGCATGTCATCTGCTTGAGAACTGTGGCAATTCTGGAGAAACTGAGTGAATGCTTCCTCCTCAACTGGGGATAGGGCAAGTTGCAGGACCACACTCAGCTGATTCATCTGCTGGCAGGCTGGCCATAACAAACAGAACATTCAATATCAAAAGGTATGCATGGACAAATTTAACAGATGCCAAAGTTCAAGCAATGTAGACCAATACAAACTTAAGTCCTTACATTTAAAATTGGAGTGCCAAAATGTGAATACAATTCTCTTGGGTAAATGACATATTTTTGAAAACAGAACTATCAATAAATACAGAGCTAATAGAAACAGACAAGGGTTCAATATGCACATCTTGTGTGCAGATACCAGCAGTTTTCATACTTCTGAGGTTGTTTCAAAAGTTTATACAATTGTCATATAAGGTATACTCTATATTACCTTTACAAAAAACATCTACATTGCTGTAACAGAAAACTCTTAACATATAAAATGAAGTCTGCAATGATGAAAATAAGCACTATATTTACCACTGAAAAAGTGTTGCAGCAGATCTCTTGAGTTCTGCTCGTTACAGTGCTGCCGCTGATACTGGAATGCCTCATGAATTAGGCCATTCACAAGCAATACTGTTAGATTGAGCCTGTATCAACACATCACATTATACATACAGTCAAAAAATATTTATGAGAAATATGTTAAGTAGGTATAAACCTAAGTGTGCATAACATTATTTAACATTCATTTTGGTTAGAACATTTCTTTCAAAAACCACTCTAAACCATTCCAACTGTATTTCACAAAACAAATTCTGCTGATACTTACCGTATGTCCTCTATATCCTTCAATGGTGGTTGTTGCACACGAATGTACTTAAGGGCCATTTGGTGTTGGCCCTGATAGAGGAATGCTTGGATGATGCACTGGTGCTGCCATGGTTTCAGATCATCCATTGAGACGAGTGGATCCAACAACATGTCTATTGCTTCCTGCACAAACAAACAACCAACAGCAGCTATAGCCTGCATGAAAGGATAGATACACTGCCAATGTGAAGTTTAATAACAATGCAATTAATATACTGTCTCTCTTGGCCATCCTTAACTCCTTACCATCCATTCAGATGATCAGCTAGACAAGAAATTACACCTTTTATGGAACATGAAGTTCATTACAGTGTTCACAAGAGTCCACCATACGAGATCTATATAAAATATCATTACATTATATACACAGCTATCTTCCATCTGCAACCTGAATCAGAAAGACTGTGCAAATTTATAAAAATATAAGGTAACTTTTGGTAAACAACTAGTAGAACTTTTGTTTCTGAACTTGACATTTTATTTAACAAAGAAAGAATATAAAGTTCTGAAATGATTAAATTTAAGTTCATAATTATTAAGAAGAGCACTATTATAAATCGATCAATCGATGTGGAACATCAATAATATTTTATTATCTTAATTATAAGAAATTTTAAATATTGTGATAAGACGGATGAAAATAAATAATTGTAAGAGCACTATTATATTTTAAAGATGGGAATAATCGGGCAAGTAAGCACCAATCCCAGGCACTCAAACCTGATCAAAGCATGCTAAATTACCATAATTTATAATCAAATCCAAGAGCTAGCATCTTACTGTGAAATCCTGATGGTCCAAGAGCCACAGAGCCTGTGTTATCTTGATGAAGCTTGGAGTAAGACGAAAAGCAGAAGGAAACTTGATAAACTGGTTGATGGTAGCAGTGTATCTAAAACAAATACATCTTTAATGAGCTAGGATCCAGATATTAAAACACAGAACATTATACTTCTTAATGATAAAACCTCAAGTGGATTCCATTTGGCAAGTTTAAATCAAGTCTATTCAACTGTAACAAAAAGAAAACCATACTCCTGAAATTGAGTACACCAAATCAACACATTAATGAGACTAAAAAGCACTTACAGACTTCAGCAGCAAATTCTGTGTAGCCTCTTTCAAGAGGTGATGTGGATGATGAATTATATAAAATAAGAAACCCACTGTTTCTTTGAAAGTTAACAGAATTGCAAGCCAAGATTCTATGTTAATATTAGTAAATACATTATGAATACAAAACCACACACACCTGCGGGACTCCAGTAGTCCAGCCAAATCAAGGAAGACATAGATAACAATGCAGTGCTTTACATGCAAAGGAATACCATCCAGCAGATAAGTTCGAAGAAGAGACTGGACTGAAGGGGGAGGATAGAGTCCAGTGCCTCCATCCCGCTCCCACAGGGAGGAGAGGCGATCACCATCACATTCCCTCTTTACTAGTCCATCAATAAAGAGGATGTCCATCTTGTCAGTTGCCGACCTGCTAAGTTTCTGCAGCTCTGCCCTCCTGTAATGAAACACACAAGTATAAAACAGTATAAGTAGTAATGTTCTCTTGCTTAATACTGTGTACTATGTAGACTGATAATAGATGTGACATTAATCAAAAGAATATTTGAACTGTGCATGTACCTTTTCTGGTAGATTTTTGCAAGAGCAGCAGCAGGGTAGGGAACTCTATGTGGCCCAAGCTCTCCTGCAGTCTCAAAGCCATCAACAAGGGCAAGGTCACCACAAGGAAACTCTGGCAGAAGGCCCACATTGACAAACCATTCCACCACTTCAATATACACAGCAACAAGTTCCAAGACCTGCGCCTGCTGCGTCACATCTCCTACACCTGGACATATAATGAAATGATACAAGGAACTGGTTATCAGATCTTTGTGGGAAAGGGATGTTCCTTGTACTGAACCCCGGTCCCTGAGCCAATAGAAATTAATGTTACATCTTTCTTGGTTGGAGTTTGTAACTTTGTAATCCAATCAGGAATGAGCTTGAGTTCAAAGGTGTTTTCACCCTGTGTGGAGGTGACAAATCAACTGAAAACTCAATTCGACACTTACTTCTTCTTCATTTGGGCTTGAAAAAGGTCGGACGCATTCTGATCACAGCTCAATTTTGGAAATACCAATTAGAAATTAGCAGAAATCACAACTTCACATATGAGTATTCAAGTATTGTGAGTGAGGCCATTAACACTACCGAGACACAATCTCAATACTGAAAAGCCAAGGCATTTAAAGACACAGAACCCTGAGACATTCCTTTCAGCCCTAAATATTCAACAACACCTGGATTGACTACCATTCGAGACAAAGCTGCGAGCACGAGGGCACCATCAGCAGATAGAAGGATGTACAACCTTACGGGAGAGGGGGGGGTTGATGATTACACTTGAGATTATCATACCAGCAGACATCCAGTGTTACAGGATGTAGCAGCTAATACAGAAAATTTACTAAGAATTTTGTGATGTTAAAAATCTTTATTTTGTTAAATTTATCACATATGTGCATTGTGCAGCCAGTTTCTACCCGTGGAGTTGCTATTTCCACAAAACTGAATATCATCATAACAAATTATCACATCATTATACAAGAAGCTGAGAAGGGGGGTGTGTGTAAAATATTTTGTAAAATGCTACACTTTTCTCAAAATGTTTCATTTTCTTCAATGAAAACAGCTGCTTAATGTCATTTGTGCGTATGTTACTGCTTAAATTATAAAGCACCCTAGTGACTATGCTGAGATGTGAATAAATAAAATTATTCTCTTAAACTTCCAAAAATCAAGGTTTATAAACAGATAACAGTCATGTTCAATGACTTTCAGTGACTTCAACAGAACATATTTCAAATGAGTTTGATACCTTGTACAGTGGGATTCTTGCACATCTTGAGTAAACCCTGAAACAAGGTGGTGAGATGGTGTAGTTGGTTGCCACAGTAATCTAGCAACTGGTATAAATTGCTGTCCAGTTTCACACCTGAGTAATCATACAGTGGGATGCCTAGAAAGTAACATTTCTTGATAATGTACAAGGAAATAACACAAGTTATTGGTCCAAGTACTGAAGAGTGGATATGGATTTTCCATAAAAGCGTAACAGATATTTATTCCTACATTTAATATGTCACAGACTCAAGGTTAATTTTACAGCACAGTTGTAACAAAATACCTCCTTAGTGTCTTTCAATACCAGTAGTACAGTGTGACCAAGATATAATGAGTATTATAAAAAAAAATCATTTGCACAGACATAGCAGAGTACTGAAAGACTGAAGAGTAACATTACCTGCTGGTGAACGTGTATTGTGCAACTGCAAACTAAATGGCAAATTTCACCAAAATTAATTCAGCCACAGCAGAGCTTTTCATGAAAAAAGATACAACACAAGCAATACATGACTCCCTAAATGTTTGTTATACTGGTGGCTTCATTAAAAGAAAAATATGTATGACACTGTCCACTTTCTGAGGTATATTTGATATGCATGCTTCAGAAGTTAGCTCTACTGTTATCTTTAGATAGGACCTTTATCAATTTCTTTTACAATAATGGAAATGGTTGGGATTGAACATGAGGCCACTTCAGTGCAAGGTTAGTGTATTAACCACAATATAATAAAAAAGATCTATCTGTATAATATCATCTGAAGACAGGAGTAAACCCAACTACCAAAATGTTATGTAAATCAAATACACCCCAAACAATGGATAATGTAAAGCATAGTATTCTTACAAAATGGAATAACAAGTTGACCTTTCATGAAATATACCATGTAATGATATTCCAAATCAGATACAAGACATTCAAGCACTGTGGACTTCTTTAAATCAAAACAATCTAATGCTTTATACTGGTCTACATTTATAGTTTAAAAACCTACTACAGAACTGTTCCATTTACAGTAGCAGAAATAATAATGATGAAAAAAAAACATTTTGCAGAAATATTTGCCTTGGAGTTTATACACTTACATAGGTTGTCTGCGTGGGCCTTCAGACTGGTAGCCCGCTGCCACCCCCATTTCAGCAGGGCAGGCAATGTACAGCCCATTGCACTCTGACTTCCATCCACCCATTCAGCTGCACAACGAGACAGAAAGCCCAGTAGCTGATACTCCAGTGCAACTGATAACAGGAACTCCCTTTGCTCTGTCTGCAACAAAACAATACTGAATTAGTCCAGTCACACACAAATAAACCAGAACCTTTACGCAACCTTCTTTGTATTAATAAAAAACAATTTTGAGGTTAAGAACAAAAATGAATCTGGGAATCATATTCATAACCACAGTATTAGGCTGCCATCTGAAAAATGTTAATCATAACAATAAAATTAGTTATCACTTTAAGCCTGGTGGCTGTACCAATATTATCTGTCTCGTTCAATCAAGATACTGGTGACTATAATGCTAAAATCTTGACTTTACTTATTTACTATTAAGTAATGCTATTTCAAGTAGATCACTGCAACTGCATTCCTTCTGACATAATTCCTTCTTCATAGGAACCACATCTGTCTTCCTTGTGTTACCTTATAACCAAGGCCATGAAACTGGGCAACAGGAATATGATATGTATGCTAACAGATATTTAAGATGTGGGAGAGTGAATCATTCAAGCAAAATAATTAGTTGAAGATTTCCGTCTTCTGGGCTGTTGCGCAACAACCCAGAAGACAGAAATCTTCATACTCACCGCTGTGAAAACCTCAAATCTTACGAAATAATTAGTTGTTCACTTAGTGCAATCCAAGAAAGATGGATAAACTGTACTGAAGTACCATCGAGTTTACCATTCAAGACTGAAAACTAGAAATACTGACAACAGTACAGTATCTAAAATGGTAAATGATTCTGCTTCAGATTAAGAATATGGACGAATTACAAAATAGTTTATGTTCCTGAATGATTCATCCACCACCAGCCGCAGCAAAGAATTAGCTCCAGTCCGACTGCAACAGCAGACAATGTGAAGGACACATTGTTTTGCAAAGAAAATTCCCATTAGAGGAAAGTTATTTTACTTGTACAAATTATGGAGTATAACAGGAGTGTTAGAATTGTGACAGAAAAGTCAATATTTATAGCATTGAATGCTGTAGAATGTTGTGTGTACATTTTCCTGTATTTCACACACTCTTTTCAGTTCCAATAATTTTCCCATGGGAGAAAACAATAACTGAATTCTGCAATACAGCTCAGACTTCTGAATCCCGCATTACTGGACAGAAGAGGAAATTCAGAGGATGTTACATCATGAACATCTCTCTTTGACTGGACATTCTTCTCCTGGGCACAAGATGGTTCATTAGAAGTAATCTTATGGGTTGTTAGAGTTACACTAAGTAACTTCAGAAGAAAAACTGCACATACAGTAAGCAAAAAAAGTTACAGAACATAGTTGCAACTAGTTAAAAACCACTCATGACAAATGTGATAGAAAAAATCCTTAGTTTATATATTTCCCATAAATGTAGCATTAAGAAATTGACAGTGCTGGTGATTTTGCTTGTTATATATCAGCTGTACTGTAACCCAATAAAACTCACCAAGGGACAGTTGAATGTTGAGCTCACTTCCATATAAACTGGTTTGAGGCCTATAGCAATGCAATGGTGAAACAATTTAGTGGGGTACATAAGTGCAGAAGGTCCACTCAGTTCTAGCTGTAACAGAATATCTCGCTGCACACCTGGGTGACTCATCACCACCAGTTCCTCTCCCAGGAGACTCAAAGATTCTAAAAATATACAAAATTATAATAATTAAAGTTGCATCAGTTTCAAGGCTAAGAAAATCTGAGGAAAAGTAGGTTCAACTGTTGAAGTAGACTTGCTACATATTTTATGGCTTTATCATATTTTTTTAAACAATAACTTTTTGCTTTTCAGGTAATTATTTAATATGCACAGACTGTTTAAACAAGTAAGTCAGTACATACCAAATGCAAGAGCCGAAGGATAAAAATGCTCCTCAAGGCTTTGCACTGCAGTGAATTGTGAAAGACTGGCAGGATCCACCTTCACATCAAGAAGTGGATTAATGGAGTTGGCAGAATTGGCAGAAGTCTCCACAACTTCATCCAAGGAGAAAACAGCTATGTATGTGGAAGCTTGTCCTTTCACTATTTTGCCTGGCATCTGCTCCTTGTACCACTGATTAAGATCAAATAGAGCCATACAAGTTTTGCTGGGACAGTTGGCTCCCCATGTCTCCCATACAAACAGGCATAATGTCAAGTCACACTCCTGTACACCTGCAAATAGTTAAAATGTACCAATGACCAGGGTAGTCAAGTTACAAGACAGATACACAAGTCATTTTCTTTCTGCCCATGGAACAAACTTGGCTAGAACACACTTCCTTCCCAAATCCTTTGTTAAAATGGCCTGACATGAGTCATAAAAATTACTGCCTCTTCAACCATTTCATAGTCAATCTTCTATCACTTCACACTATATCACACACTTGAGCTACCGATGGTGCCCTGGACACTCATCAATTTCAATGGGCTCAGACCCTCTTTAAAAATACAGAATCACATAAAAATATTTAAATACAATTTGCATCAGATTATAAGTTATGGTTGCTATCTTCCTAATCTTTTTGCAAAACTGGATGTGCATGCATTATTCTGTACTCTCAAGCTTAGTAAAGTCGACAAGTGACAAGATAAATACATTTAAATACTGAACAATTATGACAAATGCAAAAAAGACAAGAGAGGACATTGTCAGGATATGTTCATCACAGCTGCATCCTCGTACAGTGCAATTTATCTAAAACATAAATTCAGACTCAGTACTTTTTACTCAGGTGCTCTGTACAACCTATGCAGCATTACCAAGGCCATATGGTTAGTACATGAGAGTGAAATCTTATTCACATTGTATTCAATATATTCTACTCTACCACTGAATATAAACATGTACAGAAGAAGCTCATTTCTGTGCATTTTCCTGATAATGTATATGAACATAAAATCATGTAATTATAGTTATAAAATATTTTCTTTCCTGCTACATATAAACAAATACACAAGGACTGAACACATACAACTTTGGCTGGCCATTTAAGATTTTCAGCAGAATCACCCAGATGCAAAACTGCAAGTACAGTTCATGCAAAAATTTATATGACACAGGCAACACACAGTTATGAATCACTTGTTATGATGAAGGTGCTGGATAAAATTCACTTGTTATAAATGTTCTGTATATGCAACATCAAGAAACTGAGTGCCGGGATAGCTCAGTCAGTATAGTGACTAGCTACGGGCTGGACGACCGGGGTTCGATCCCCGACGGGGGCAGAGGATTTTTCTTCTAGCCTCTGCGTCCAGACCGGCTCTGGGGCCCACCCAGCCTCCTCTACAATGGGTACCGGGGTCCTTTCCCGGGGGTAAAGCCGGCCGGGGCGTGATGCTGACCACTCACCCCCATCTAGTGCCGAGGTCAAGGAAGAGAGGAGCTATACCTCCACTCCCCCCAAGCGCCTACATGGTGTATAGTGGGACAAACTTTACTTTACTTTACGAAGAAGTTCTCACTACAGCATGTACTTGTTTTATTGAAGTTATATTGTAGGTATATCTTGGAATAGGTTCATAAAACATTTAATATATTTCAAAGTGACAGTGGAAAATTATGCAGAATGGACCAACAACAACAACAACAACAACAACAACAACAACAACAACAAAGCTGAGTGAAAATATTATATGAAAGAAGTAAACAGACTGCAAACATACATTGAGCACATGTGTCAAATTTCTGCAGGTATTGAAGAGTATGACAGCACACATTAAACCTTATAATACTATGAGACTGCAAAATATTTTAATTGGAGGGGGGGGGGGGGGG